TGTCCTCCTATCCACACTGTCAAATGCCTTTTCATAATCAATGAAGTTGATGTACAGTGACGATTTCCATTCAATTGATTGTTCGACGATGATCCGTAGTGTCGCAATTTGGTCTGTGCACGACCGATCCTTACGGAATCCAGCTTGTTGATCTCGAATCTGGGCGTCCACTTCATGTTTCATCCGGTTCAGCAACACTCTGTTGAAGACCTTCCCTGATATTGACAGTAGTGTTATGCCTCTGTAGTTCTCACATTTGCTCAGATCTCCTTTCATTGGAATCTTGACGAGGTGTCCTTCTTTCCAGTCCATCGGCACTTGTTCCTCCTCCCAAATCCTTTTGAATAGAAGGTAAAGCATGTTTGTAGTTACTTCGATGTCTGACTTCAGTGCTTCAGCTGGTATATTGTCGGGTCCTGCTGCTTTCCCGCTCTTGATTTGTCTGATGGCCATTCTGATTTCATCCTTCGTTGGTGGGTTGACGTCTATAGGAAGATCAGTGTGTGCTGCTTCGATGTCCGGTGGATTCATTGGAACCGGCCTATTCAGGAGTTCCTCGAAGTATTCTACCCATCTGTTCCGCTGTTGTTGAATTTCAGTGATTGGCTTGCCTTCTTTGTCTTTGACCGGTCTCTCTGGTTCACTGTATTTCCCTGATAGTTTCTTCGATGTATCGTAAAGCTGTTTCAAATTTCCTTCTCTTGCAGCTTCTTCCGCCGTCGTTGCTAGTTCTTCCACGTACTTCTGCTTGTCGGCTCTAATGCTCTTGTTCACTTGCTTGTTTACTTCTATGTATTCAGCTTGTGCTTGGACTTTCTCTTCTCGTGTTCGGCTGTTGTTAGTTGCTGTCTTTTTGTTCTTCTTTTCTTTGATCTTTCCAGTGTTTCTATAGAGATCCATTCCTTATGATGGTGTTTCTTGAGGCCCAAAACCTCTTGACACGTTGAAGTTAATGCTTCTTTGATACCTTTCTACTTTCCCTTCATAGTAGTTTCTTCTTCCTTCAGTAGATCCTGTAAGGCTTGGAACCTGTTGTTGAGAGCTATCTTGAATTCATTGAGTTTGTCAGTATCTCGAAGGAAGGCTGTATTGAACCTTTGTAGTGCTGTTTGTCCAGTTTTCCAGTTCTTCTTTAGCTTCAGTTTTAAACGGGCCACAACTAGGTGGTGATCTGAAGCTATATCAGCTCCTCTCCTGGTTCTCACATCTTCCATTGTCCTTCGGAATTTTTTATTGATGCAGATATGATCTATCTGGTTCTATGTAGTGTGGTTTCTCCTCTGTAAATAGTGTCTTTCCTGTAATCAGTAAGTTAAAAGGGAGAATCTTTTTCCCATGAATATGAGATTGCTCATAAATATCAGTGACAGATGATATTATGTGGGTTTTATATAAAAGGTCTTTTTATGTTTTGGACTGCAATTTATCAATCTTTTATTGGCATATATGCATCCTGTGCGGATGGCCTTAAGTCACAAAGTCCTTTTATGTTTGGGAAAATTCTAATTCTAACTATTATCAATATTAATATGATTGTTCTCATTTGAGTATTTCACCACAAGATTAAGCCAAAAATTGATAGTCACTTTTTATATCGGATATGAATTTACGTATTCTGCAGTCAATAAAATGATGAAACTATAGGACTTAGTTTATCTATCTATCTGTCCATCTGCAATATACTACTGAGTATGATACATAGTAAGGTATATGTTTCTCTTCATTAAATTAATACAATACTAGACAACGCTAAATGCGATATTATTCTTGTAAGAAAACTATTAGAACATTTGTAATTTTATTAGTCCGAATTTAAGTTTACATTTTTATTACAACAATGCAATTCTAGGATAACTGAATTTACTGAACTGATAATTTTTTCTTTATGTAAGTTAGGTCAAAAATCTTAGAGGATAGATTTTAAAACATGAAAGCTATTCAGTCAAGTAGAAGAAATATATTAAAAAAATAAAGCTAATGTTTGTGTATAAAATATTCAAACAAAACAATATAACATCTGGTTAATCCAAGATGAACATGCATGTCACCCATTGACCTATGAATTACCCATTACAAATATAAATAGATGCACATAAATGAATAAACAAAAGGAAAACAATGGTTATTTTAAGTGAATTCGGCGAGACTCTAATTTATGGACGAGCCAATCAGAGAGTTTGAGCAATTTCAAGGTCATGGAGCCAAGTTCAACACCTGATGCTCACATACGATCGGTTTTCAGCGGATTTTAGAGGAGAGGTGATTATTGAGCGGCTACAAGAGATGAGACTACTAAGAAGTTCGTGTACCTGTGGCTGCGCTTATCAAATGACTGCAGTAAAGTGTGCAGACTATCGTGATGAGATTGTATTTCGTTTTTCTTTATGTTGGAGGAAAATGTCTGCTCGAACGGGAACTTTCTTCGGTCGATCGCGACTGAAACTGAGGCAAATCATGATAATAGTTGCAAATTGGATAATAAAGACACCAGTAACACTGGCTGCGGCGTTTGCAGATGTTACTGAGACTTCAGTCGTCTAGTGGTATGAGTATTGTCGTGATATATGTTCACCTAAAATGACACGTCTACACAAATCATTCGGAGGAGTCGGAAGTATTGTGGAAATAGATGAAACAGTAGTGCGAAAGCGAAAGTACAACAGGGGACGTAGTATCAAGGAAGATTGGGTACGTAGCACTTCCGTAAATATACATGACAGTTACTTGGAATTTTTGATCGATCAACGCAGGGAGGGAATTTTTAGAGGGTCAGAAACCGGCAAGCAACCACAATAATACCAATTGTACATGAATACGCGCAGCCGGGCACTACGGTATATACGGATGATTGGAGAGCTTATAGATGCCTTCATAGACTTGGCTATGTCCATCACGTCGTAGTGCACACACGTCATTTTGTCGACCCTACTACTGGCGTTCATACCAACAACACTGAAGCCATGTGGTCGAGATTGAAGGAATTTTTAAAACCGTACCACGGCTATAGAGGACGACTATTATGGAGCCATATGGAAGAGTTTCTATATCGTATGCATTATGATTTTGAAACATCTGAACCTTTATCAAACCTTAACAAGTTTTTAAATCACGTAAAAGAAGAATATCCACTGTAATTCATTACTTTCTTATAATATATTTTTACTTTATACTAACTGTCTGCTGACTGGCTAATAATTGTCAAGGTTATTTAAGGTTCGTTCAAGGTTCGTCCGTAAATTAGAGTCTCGCCGTGAATTCTTATTGTTTCCAAAACAACTGTAAATTCATATTACCATTTGAACAGATCATTAAAATCTCCAATGATCATATATTTATATAATTATATCATTTACTAATATTGACTAAAGAAACATTCAAAGTTTAAAAATGACTTGAGAAGTCATTTTTATCTCTGTTTGAAATCTTTCAATAATCTACATAAGTAAATTATAAACTATTTACAATTTCAAATGCCAATGATAAAATTTCGAATAATAACCAATCAAAAGTATGAAAAAAAACAAATAATTTATAGTTGGGACAAAATTTTAAAAGATAAAATTATCAGGAAAGTTTTAATGATAAAAAATAAAAACCGGGAGATAAATATGGTCATTATTTGAAGTGAGCAACACCACCACCACCACCACAACAACAACAACAAAAACAAAACAATCATTAATCAATCCCTTTATTTTTCTTTTAAAATTTATTAATATACATGAATGATGTTATCTTGCTTAGATTTTAAAAAGCATCAAATAGAAATGGAAACTTATAACAACTAAAAGAAAGATAATAGTATAGGATTTATTATGATAGTTTTTGGTCAGTCGAAAATCTTTTTATGAAGTGTTAGAACTTGTAACTTTATGCCCTATTAACATGTAACGTAATGATTATGACAATTAGATAGTAGTGACTTATCAACCGGACGAATGATGCATAAAACTGGTACAAGCAGTCTAGAGTCTTTATCGGTCCTTCTTCCAATCTAGCCCTGTCTGTTAAGTCCAGAAACACCAATCGCAGTCTCGATGATATGAATCATGTATTCCAAACATACTGGGTTTATATAGAAACCAAACAGATCACATCACACTATAAAATAGAAAATAACATTTGTACAAGGTTTAGCCAAAAATGGCTATGAATGTGGGAGATAGTAATTAATAGACTGAACATTACTAAAGAACGGTAAATCGTATAATAGTAGTCTATGAGTTAAAATAAAACTTACAATAAAAAAACCATGAATATACATAGTTTAGTTACTTAACAATTATACAATAAAAATATATGTATCATATTGGTACAAAAATAGTTCACAAAAGTTACCATTCATAATTCTCGTCGGGATATAACATAAAGAAAAAGATAGACGTACATGTTCATTTAATTTCCGATTATTTTGAAACAGATCATGTCATAGAAAACACCATTTTAGAATGAAACTTAATATTTAATATCTTCTGATAAGTAGTTTTGATAACCATATGAATTTCTCTTACAAACGATAATAAGTTGCTGTTTAACTAAAGTGTTATAAAGTAAGTTTAATAAGTGGAAATAGGGGTGAATAGTTTAATTTGATAAGGAACTTGATAAGATTTTAAATATTCTCGAATTTGAATAAAAATTAAGATATAGACACTTTGTTCGAAGGTAACTCTAGTTAAGGTAAAAACATGATGTTATTGGTTGTTGATTTACTTCATGTCATTTACTTCTTCGACATTTTCTACTGTTACTACTCACATATGATGAAGCCAAGTGGAATATGAAAATAAATTAAACTTGTAAATGGATTTAGCACTACTTAATACGTTTAAACATTCAAGCATTGTTTGAAGGTAGTGATATGCAAAGTGACTAGGTTCTACCTTTCTTGAATTCAGAGGTATCATTTTGGGGGAATATTATGGACTATTCTAATGTTGGTATCTTTTTTGAAACTATTAAGTTCTATCTAAGTCACATATAACACTTGTATTTACTAGAGATGCAACTGGAAAATTTCCTGACTATCCAGATGAAGATGAAGGAGGTTCTGCATTAATTTTTAAGGAAAAAACACCGGAAGAATTAGAAAGAGAATTAAGAGAAAAGGTAATATGTGTATTTTATTCATTTGAAATAATATTCTCGCTTCGATTAAAACAAAGACATAAAAATGAATAACAAAAACTTTTAAATCAATTCTTATCAGGTTCTACATGTATAGAGCGAAATCACCGATCGAGATTTATGACCAATTTTACGACTAATGAACCTTTAATAATTGAATTTACAAATTTCAAGGTGGTGTGTGTTAATTCTGAAATCAGTACCAACCAGTTTGAACATGAATATGAGAATTATAGATAGAATAGCATGAGTAAGGTCATAATATGATTGATAACTTAAATATTTGATCAGGGATTACGTAACGCATGTAATTACATGAATTAAGTTAATGTTTATAAGCAAAAGTAATTAAATTAGATATACTTGGATTATGGGAACTCCGTCTGGAGTCCCTCCGAAGGCTACTGCAGGTCCCAAGCCCGGATAAAGGAGAAGGGTTGGGCATGGGGTTAGCGTCCTTATCCCGTAGAAAACTAACTCGCTAAAAAAACGATAACCATAAAAAATTATTCAAACCTTTTAAACTCTGCCCTGGGAGTCAGAAGGTCTTCATTTAGAAGAACTATGACGCCTCATGATGAAAACCGAATTCCTTCGGAAGTTACGAGGCCAATGCCCCTTCTGACAACCAGAGCGACCATTTATTTAGGTACATGGAATGTTCGTACAATGTGGGACACCGGGAGAGCCTTCCAAATTGCTGCAGAAATGAGAAGATACAACTTAGAGGTACTTGGGATCAGTGAAACACATTGAACACAAGTTGGACAACAACGACTAACTACAGGAGAGCTCCTGTTATACTCTGGCCATGAAGAAGAAAATGCACCACATACACAAGGAGTTGCATTGATGCTGTCCAAACAAGCGCAAAATGCGCTTATAGGATGGGAATCTCATGGACCAAGGATCATCAAAGCGTCGTTCAAAACAAAGAAAGAGGGTATTTCAATGAACATCATCCAATGTTATGCGCCTACCAACGACTACAATGAAGACGCTCAAGATCAATTCTACAATAGGCTGCAGTCAATCATCGAGAAGTGCCCGACAAAGGACCTGACCATTCTGATGGGAGATTTCAACGCCAAGGTTGGAACGGACAACACTGGATAGGAAGACACCATGGGACGATATGGACTGGGAGAGAGGAATGAAAATGGCGAGAGATTTGCGAACCTATGTGCCTTCAATAAACTGGTCATAGGCGGCACCATATTCCCACATAAACACATACACAAAACCACATGGACTTCACCGGACCACACAACGCAAAACCAAATCGACCATATCTGCATCAACAAAAAGTTCAGGAAGACGATGGAAGATGTGAGAACCAAGAGAGGAGCTGATATAGCATCAGATCATCACTTGCTGGTCGCCAAGATGAAATTGAAACTCAAGAAGCACTGGACAACGGGGCGGACAAGTACCAACAGACTGGAAAGAAGGACTCCTGATCAAAATACCAAAGAAAAGCGATCTGAGCAACTGTGATAACTACAGGGGCATCACTCTTCTCTCAATACCCGGAAAAGTCTTCAACAGGGTATTGTTAAGCAGGATGAAGGACTACGTAGGCGCCCAACTTCGTGACGAACAGGCAGGATTCCGTAAGAATAGATCGTGTACAGACCAAATCGCAACTCTACGGATCATTGTGGAACAATCAATTGAATGGAATTCATCACTCTACATCAACTTTATTGACTACGAAAAGGCATTTGATAGCGTGGACAGAACAACAATATGGAAACTTTTTCGACACTACGGCGTGCCTCAGAAGATAGTCAATATCATACAGAGTTCATATGATGGATTAAACTGCAAAATCGTGCATGGAGGACAGTTGACAAAGTCGTTCGAAGTGAAGACCGGTGTTACGCAAGGTTGCTTACTGTCGCCCTTTCTCTTTCTCCTGCTGATCGACTGGATCATGAAGATGTCAACATCTGAAGGGAAGCACGGGATACAATGGACATCTAGGATGCGGTTGGACGATCTGGACTTCGCAGATGATCTGGCCCTCCTATCCCAAACGCAACAACAAATGCAGGAGAAGACGACCAGTGTAGCAGCAGCCTCAGCAGTAATAGGTCTCAATATACACAAAGGGAAAAGCAAGATTCTCTCATACAACACAGCATGCATCAATAGAATCACACTTCACGGAGAAGCTTTGGAAGATGTGAAAAGCTTTACATATTTGGGCAGCATCATTGATGAACAGAGTGGATGTGATGCAGACTTGAAGGCGCGGATCGGAAAAGCAAGAGCAGCATATTTACAACTGAGGAACATCTGGAACTCAAAGCAACTGTCAACCAACACCAAGGTCAAGATTTTCAATACAAATGTCAAGACAGTTCTACTGTATGGGGCAGAAACCTGGAGAACTACGAAAGCCATCATCCAGAAGATGTAAGTGTTTGTAAACAGCTGTTCACGCGAAATACTTCGGATCCGTTGGTCGGACACTATTAGCAACAACCTACTGTGGGAGAGAACAAACCAGATCCCAGTGGAGGAAGAAATCAGGAAGAAGCGCTGGAAGTAGATAGGACACACATTGAGGAAAGTACCGAACTGCGTCACAAGACAAGCCCTCACATGGAATCCTGAAGGTCAAAGCAAAAGAGGAAGACCAAATAACACATTACGCCGAGAAATGGAGATAGACATGAGAAAAATGAACAAGAATTGGATGGAACTAGAAAAGAAGGCCCAGGACAGAGTGGGTTGGAGAATGCTGGTCGGCGGCCTATGCTCCATTGGGAGTAACGGGCGTAAGTAAGTAAGTGGATTATGGGAATATAGAGAGGAATGGAATATCTAAATATGCAGTAGGTCATCTTACAATTAAAAAGGCTATTGGGATTTTGGATTGTCCAAGTTAAGAAAAAGATACTATACCTGTTCCTTTTGAGAACGAAGCTTGAGTTTCTTTAATCCATTCTGGAATCGTTTCTGATATGCAAATGATCCGAAGCCTGACTGGTTTTAGAAAATTGATTATAACGTGTTAGACTATTAATAATGAAGCGTTATGTTAAAATAAATGAGCTAACGTGAACGTGTTGGCAGTCTTCACTAAACCTTTAATTAAACATGCTGGAAGATGTTTACGAACACAAAAAGTAAATTCCTAGAACATCTGTCAATGTAAGTTGCTCTACAGTAGTTGAATTTTAAAATACAAAGAAGATGTGGGTAATCTAGTTGATTCATCCTTTGTTACCAGCGTCATCGTCGGGAACATGAAAAACATGAGTTATAGTTCTTTTGTATTGAAAGTTCTTTGATTTGTTCTGCTTGACTTCAAGACTAACAGTTCGTTGGGTTTATCATCGGTAGATGATAGGCCGTTGTTTGGAATTCATTTTGTTTAATTTTTTGATCGTGCTTTTTATAAATTTTTGAGAGTGCCCAATTTTTCCCTAGTTTATTGCGCAACATATTAGTTTTCTGTCTATTTTATTCGGATGGCACATGGTCATTATTCTATAATCACACAATTGTCAAAAAGTTATGATCAGTAGAATTAGTCAAGTTTTGAGTAAAGCGAACATTCACAGATGATTTAGGATAATGGTCACCGGATTAAATAAGGTCTAAATATAGTACTGTTTGATTTATACTTATAAACTAGTTATCGTTGTAAGCTATGATATATTAACTTATAGTTTTAAATTCCATTTGAAATTATTGATTCGCATCTCTGAGGTATGTAAAACGAAGGGGAAGTAACCAACCATCTCTAGGTGTTTGTCTTTCCCTCTCTGTATTTTAATGATACATTAGCTACTGTTAATTGGGAATGAGTTTTCAAACAAATTAAAATTACCTGATATAATAATAATTATTATTATTTACCTAAAGATTATTCTGTTCCATAACATTTATTTATCTTAAAGGATGAGGCAAGTCAAAAATCTAAAGGAAAAAACAGTGGAAAAAGTAAAAAGAAACCGTCACCTAAAAAGAATGATAAACAAAAAAAGAAAAAAGGCGAAGTATGTTTACAATCATGTTTGATAAAATTAAATTTTATGGGTGGATTTACATTATTTACTGTTAAATAATTATTAAATCATTTAGATGCAGTTAAATATTTATCAAGTGACATGATATACTGAAATGAAAATGTTGATTGTGTTAATTATTACTATCGGTTTCTTACATTGAACAACTTGGCAATTTTGACGTTTATACTAAACAGGTTCTATGAGAGTGATTTTGTATGAAGGTGTCATTACCAAGGTTTCACTTGATAATTTCAAATAAATTGAGCATTGGGTAGGTTGTTATAAATAAATAAAATATGTTTGTAATATCCCAATGAGTAGAAAAATTAGATTTTCTGATGTTTCGTGATTTAGTGTAAGCCACTTTTTCAGAGAATAAATAACCAAATCAAAATTATTTAAACTTAGATTAATTTTGATTAGGTTATTTATTCTTTAAAGAAGTGGCTTGCACTAAATCACGAAACATCAGAAAATCTAATTTTTCTACTCATTGGGATATTACAAATATATTATTTATTTATGATTATATATGAAGGTTATTCAGAACAAGCAACTTCTTCTTAGAATTATTACGAACTGATCTTATACATTTAGATCGTTTGATTACTTTAAAGTATAAAGATGGTTTTATGCTGTGGAGTATAAAACCTAAGAAACACTGAAAATTCTGAGCATAAATTTGAAAATATTCGTAATTTCTTATTTATCTACTATGTGAAAGGGGTTTTGAAGGTTTAATTAATCTTGGCATTGGAAAAAACGGAATGTACCACTCAAGACGTTAGTAAAAGTATATATCTCTACTACGATATGTTTTTGCCACTTATTAGTTTCTGGACAAGATGAAGGAAATGAAAAATCCACAGAATATCAATCCTAAATATTCCCAGAATGTTACATATTTATAGGAGAACTATCAAATAATCCGTTTAATTAGTATGACTAATCTATCGAGTACAGGTTTACATACTTAGCTTACAACTATAGTATTCGTATGTCAGCAAATGAAACTATCCAAATATGAAAACGTGATCAGGACGAAGAGAGTTTGAACTTGCTCTCTGCTAGTTATTAGTCGAGTGTTTTAACCAACACAGCTACATCCTCAAGTAAACAACTTTGTGTTTAAGAACGTTCTCGTAATTAGGTCAAAAAAATTTATTCAGTGAAACTCTGAGCTGATTTCTGCTAATTTGTCTGAGCTAACTGATTGCAAAGATAAAGTTTTAGGAATAGCCTTCGAAAACATACCGTCATAATTTTAATGTACAACAAAGAAGCACTAACTAATTAGTTAACTGTGGTTTGGGCAACAGGTTTATATTGTTATAATTAGGTTTACTAATCCTAGTAAAATTATGAATAAGTTTGTAGCAACAGTAGACCGAAAAGTAAATCAAATCACCATCACCAGACACTTTATTATAACAACCCGATTATTCATCCAGTTATTTTTAGTAAGTTGAATCGTCAAGATTATCTGTTAAATTTAGGTAATCTTATGAAATAGAAAAATGGCTTAGATTATTACCTAATTATCGTTCGTCTTTCTGATAATATTTGATTCAATAGTAATAAATGTATGTTTTCTCAATAACATGTAGGAGGAACCAGAAGGATTCAAATTCTCACCATCCGCATTTCTTGGTGAAATACATGAAGGATGTCATAATTATCAAGGTAGGTTTCTTCTTTTCCAAACTTATATATCATATCTTCATATATGGCGTTTCATATAACCTTATTAACTAGTAAGAATTCAATACAAATTTATCATTTGAGGGTAAATAAGGGAAGAAAAAAAGTATTCTTTCTTCAATAAGTTAGACGATAATATACATAAAGCTAGGAAATCTAGTGCATTGAAGCTACCCTTGCAACTTTATAAGTCCAATAATTTACGTTAAAGCTAAATGTCAATGATCATAGATCATAGTTCTTAGCAGAAATGACTGGATATCGACATATATCTGTAAAGTTGAAAGGAAGAAGAAATTAATAATCATTCGTTTCTATACCATCATTGTCAATTGTCTCCAATCCATGGTGTAAACATTTGTCATTACACCGACGAAATATCGGACTTAATTAGAACTTTCCAGAAAATACAAAATGATCATTAGTGTCTAAAGTAATCAATATCGTGTACTTGACAAGCTAAACTTATTATTATCGTGTTTTAGAATTTGTCTTTACTTCAGTTATTTCACAAGTTAAAATAAATTAACAGCTTAAATAACTTAAATGATACAAGAATACAATCTCATCAACTATGTTATCGTCTTTAAATCTATTTTCATCACTATTTGACTATAAATTTTAACATTAGTGAGAATTTTTCGAAAAAACATCTATATTTGAGTATTTCGTTTATTTACCTACTTATGATTTTTATTAGTGTGAAAATATCTGGAGACAGTTGATAAATTTTCATGTTGGGAAGCAATCTGCTTGTGAAGGAGTTTTGAAATCTGAGCTGGATGGTTTGGTTGTGGAGATTTCATCGTTTTTCTGAACGACACCATCATCACAAACTTCAGGTAGAAGTGGAGTGTTTGAATTTGGATAAATCGGAAAAGCTGTAAGTCACATGTGGAGTAATTTAAACACTTCACTTCAACCGGCAGCTTGTGCTGATGGCATCGTTCAGGAGAACTATGAAAGCTCCACGACCAAACCATCCAACTCAGAGAGCAAAACTCCATCAAAATCACCCACCTGAGCTACAAACCTCCACCATCTCGGAAGCAATCTACATTCTTATTTTCTATCTAGTTCCAACAAATTACGTTCTTAATAGTTGATATAATGAATCAGTTGAAGCTAGACTGCCATGAAAAACCTAAAAGCACTGGACGGCCGTTTTGTTCTACTGCGGGACTCCCTAACAGTGAGCATCCACGATCCCGCCTCGCAAGATTCGAACACAAGACCTATCGGTCTCGTGCGAGAGCGCTTAACTTCCAGATCACTAAGCCGGCATCCAACGGTGTTAATTTCTAACTTCAAATAATCCACAAAATTGAGCGACACCTCCACTATTGTAATCAGTGAGTTACTATCTCACAACAGACCCCTTTGAACTTCATTAGTCACGGCTTCTCAATAGAACTCCAGGAAATACCTCTTGAAGTCGTTCACTAGTGATCATATGTTGATTAGTATCAGAAGGAGTTTACATTCTTTTAAATGTTTAGATTGGTTCGTATATGTTTGTGTATATAACACCAAGCACATGAATGAATTCGAATTTATTTTTACTGAAAACGTTTTTTCTAATCACTATAAGCATTATGGAAAAATCGTGATGAATCTGACAATTTTCAACAACATTATGATGAGGAAATTATCAAAGAGGATAAACGTTTAGAAGTTGAAACAGAAATACGAGTTCAGGTAATTTGATAGAATAATTTCATAAATATTTATCATTGATATATAAATAACATTCGAAATGAAATTAGATGTGTAAACTTCACTTAGAAGTCTGATTCTAGTTTTATTTTCTAAAGAAAGAATTAAAATCAAAATTATCAAGCATGAATAAGTTCACTTAGAGATGGATACTGCTTGAATATTGAATTTTAAATCAGTTTATGCTGATCTTTTCTCTACTCATCTTGTTGACTTCTTATCGCCATACTAATAAAGTTTGGTAACTTAAATCAACGCACATAATTGTCAGAGTCTACGTTGATAATGATTATATATCTCTAAATATTATTAAATCGTAAACATTATTTTTTGACTTTTTAGTGGTACATGTTTCTACGCAGTCTCATTCTTCTCCATCAATAAAACTGAGACAGCTAAGCGTTTAAAGCACAGACAATCACTGAACCGGGCGTAGTATAAAATACTAAAAAAATCATTATCAAGTTCTATTTATATCAATTTATCATTGATTTGACCATGATAACTCAAACGACTAGTGATGTTTTTTATTTATAACAAACTTATATAATATATCTTGAATTATTGATGTTATCAATTAGAAGTTAACAGTGAAGATGATGAATTTCATGTTTTCGCACCAAAGGCGCCCATTTTCACCTTCATGTCATATTTTCCACTTGGGAGGATCTCAAACGCTGTTGGTTCGTTGTATCTTTTAGTATGCCATTTGGTGACGCTTCTCAAAGACGTTTTTATGCTGTATATATACGCTTGGGTTGTACTTCTGGCTGCTTGTGGAATATATTTCCCTCTTTCGTATTTGAACTTCTCTCTCTAGTTGACTGGACTTGGATGCGTCGGTATAGCTAGCTATCTGTCACTGTCATAGAGTCTTCGTTCTGTTCTCAGATTAAGTGGACTCGTAATCTCTTCAAACAAAGCAAATTTGGAGACGAGGCTGGCGCAAACATGGATCCCTCAGAAGTGGAATTATTGCTTGAGCAACAGCTGAAACTTATCCAGATGTTAGCGGATACAAAAATTCCGTCTAACACACAACCAAGCATCTCTAGTTCTACTACTACTGTACCTTCAGTTGATGGCATCGCGAGCAGTATCTCCGAGTTTCATTACGATCTTGAATCCAATGCCAAATATGATATGTGATTTCGGTGTTATGAAGACTTATTCAAATTTGATTTTGCTAATCAAGATGACTCTTGGAAGGTCCACTTGCTGCTTCGGAAGTTGGGTCCTAGTGAACTAGATAGATACTGTAACTTAATTCTGCCTCTAAATCCACGTGGCCACTCATTCTCGAACACCGTCCAGTCATTGAGTCAGCAGTTCAGAGTTCACTGTTTAACATGCGCTATCGATGTTTGAAGCTGACTATGAACGAAGACGTTAACTTTCTGACGCATGTGGGCATCGTCAATCGCGAATGGGAACGCCTCCGGTTGAAGCTGCTGACTGAAGACCAGTTCAAAGCTCTCATTTTCATCTGCAGTCTGCAATCGCAAAAGTTCAGTGACATCAGGACACGGTTGCTTAACCGATTGAACCAAGACCCTAAATTGTCTCTTAATGATATTGCAAGTGAATATCAACGTTTAATTAATGTGCAACACAATACTACGGTGGTTCAATATGGTGGTTCCTGTCGTCCTGAAGTGCATATAGTACAGCAACTACTAATAACTATCATTTTTAAAAAGAATATAAGAGATTTTCTTCAGAAACATATACGCATTATACTCAACCTTAAAAAGTGTGTGCATATTTATTTTAATTAGTCACAGTTATTCATAATTTGATTATATTTATTTAACATCAGTAATGTGTGGGCGAGAATGATAATGATTGTTTGTCTGCTTAGTCAGACATATAGGCAGTCTGACAGGTGTCAGATCAATTATATATTGATTGAGATCATGAATCAATTGATGTTATACCACCGTTGGAATCTTGGAAGTACTGGACGGCCGTTTCGTCATAGTACGGGACTCTTCAGCAGTGCGCATCCACGACCCCGCTCCCTGCGAGATTCGAACCCAGGACTTATCGGTCTCGTGCCAGGCGCTTAACCAACTAGACCACTGAGCCGGCATCCAATGGTGATAGTTTCTAACATCAACCAATCCACGAAACTGCGCGACCAACTTCCATTGTACTGAGGTAGATACCTGTCTCTACCCGACACGGATTAGCTCCACTGGTCACGGCTTCTCACTAGAACTCCGAGAATTCCCTCACGAAGCTAGTCACTAGTGAGCACATGTTAATTATCAGTATAGGGGTTGTGGAGATTGTTAAGTTTTTGATTGAGATGTTAGAGACTAACACCATTGGATGCCGGCTCAGTGGTCTAGTTGGTTAAGCGCCTGGCACGAGACCGATAAGTCCTGGGTTCGAATCTCGCAGGGAGCGGGATCGTGGATGCGCACTGCTGAAGGGTCCCGTACTAGGACGAAACGGCCGTCCAGTGCTTCCAAGTTTCCAACGGTGGTCTAACATCAATTGATTCATGATCTCAATCAAAAACTTAACAATCTCCACAACCCCTATACTGAGAATTATATATTCCTTTATCCTTATTATTATTAGGACGGACTTATTATTGATTGTTTATTTTTGTTGGATTGTGTCGGGTTTTGGTGTGGAAATATATTTACTTTGTGGTCAGGCTAATCATCTGTTCTTGATATGAGTTATGGTGAAGTCCTGTAGAATAGACACTGGGAGAAAATTTAGGGTAGATATTCGTCTAAGGTAAATTAACGTCCCATACATGTAAACGTGGAAACCCAACCGTTATGACAATAGACAAAGTAAAACCGAGAGCTTTAATAATCAGACTGATCTTAGTTGATAAAGATGACCATTATCAGATAATTTTTTCGGCCTATATGTTGAGGATTTTTCTCAATTACTTTTGGATGTTCAGCTGGTAGCCAAACACATGTATACTCAATGTATTTGACTCCAAAACATGTAGTATAACCTTCCTATTTGAAGACCTGTATAATTATGTGAATCTTTTTCAGATTTGATAAAATATTTCGAAGTTTATATATGAAAATTGTATTTGAATTAGTCTCGGCGATGACGTTTTGTCGAGCAAGCTCGTTTCGACTTCTTCAGGGTAATGATTAAAATCAAAATTAGGTTATTTCAAATATAATTATCACATTTAATATTTTCTCTATACTCAGCGCCCGATTTCTCTCAAACTATTTGTTCTAATATTGATGAATATTTGTATAAATTTTGAAGTTTAGTTTCATCAGTGTTATCGCTTACAGACAAAGCTTAGAGGTAAACTTTTGATCTTCATCATCAACATTATTCGGTCGTGTTTGTGTGGTAACATTTATACATATCAGCTCTACTGTTATGATAATTTTTGCCAAGGTAAATAGGTTCAAAAGGTTATCTAGAGTGACAGAAAGAAATCTTTAATTCAAACGGGAGCATTCCAGTTTTTATTATTCTTTAGTTTTATGAAAATGGTGGTGTTTTTCACATTCTATAATTACCAGTAACATTAACAAATTAAATAAACATTAAAAGTCATTTCATTTGATAATGATCGTATGGTCATTAATGACTAGCTTTTTGTTGTTTTCAATAAGAAGCTAAGACTTGTACAATCAACTAGTTAGATGATATTGTACGAGGATTAAATTGTCTATCACTAGCTAATATGAATCAATGGATTACAACATACTGATATGTGAATATGTGGTTCTTACATATAACTTATAAATTAGAAGTTGAATTCAGTGGACACAGACAATAGTGAGGGGATAATAACTGAGCTAATTTAGCTAACCAGTGTTCCTTGATTTTTGATGGTTTCTCATTTAATGATAGATAATCTATTATGAAAATTACTTTAAAAAATTATGAATGTTTTCACAAGATTAGTTCACTTGATTTACAATGTCGTTGTACTTTGTTCTCTGCAAAATATTAGATGTCTCATAAACACAAACATGAAGCTCTATTGATTGATATATGGTACTTATTAGTTTTTGATACATAATTTTTCATACATCTATAAACAGGTTGATGAATTACTTCGTGAAGAGTTAAGAAATTTAAAAATTGCGATTGATAAAGAACGTGTTCAACGAAAGAAGAAAAGTCGTGCGAAGAAAGGCAAAAAAGGTAAAAAAGGCAGAAGAAAAAAGGAGAAAGATCTTACACCTGACAGGTAGGACAGACTGACATAGTGTAGAAACGTTTTGGTTCATAAAGTGTTCGGTTTCATATTCAGTATTATAATGATATGTTCACAAGTAACAAATTGTAAGTTATTGATGCGAATACTTAATGGTGAATGACTAAAATCAAGTGTTGACCAATATCGATCAGAAATCCTGCGCCTGTCAAACGGTTCCAAGCATCCGACACTTTAAAAGACTGAACACCATATCAGATCGATTAAACTAGTGGCCACATTACAACATGATCAATTAAATTTGATCCCTATTAAAAGACTAGATATACATGACAGTTATATCTGAGTAACTGAATTTTAATCTCAAATAAACCTTATCAAAGTTATACTCGTTCATCACAAAGTAGTGTAACAGGGTTGTTGAATGTAGTAAAAACACTGTAAATAAATAATTGAAATAAGGTTTGTTTGTTCTGTGATTGTATTTGATTTAAATGAGTCTTAACTAGACTTCATTACATAATAATTAACTCAAAATATTTACAGTCGAGTAAATGGTTATAACTGAATGTGATTTATTTTCATCGGGTCGGATTTTTATTTGTCATTTATCTCAGCAAACATCATGTCCGTGTGTGAAACGGTTTTTGATAATACTTTGTTAAATAATGAATAGTTCAATTCAGAATATCAAAATTACATTGGTAAAACAAAATCTAAATACATTTGTAGTTCAGTTATTATTCATCTGTTATAACCAATCGTGAGAAGTTTGAGATTCATTGATGCTTTCATAATTGGTAATCCAAACCAAAAAAAGAGCAATAAACAATTAATAGCTCTAGAAATTAATATTGTTAGTACTGTCTTCTTTAAATTAAATAATTTAATGTTGGAAGTTATGTAGTTTTTTCTAGATAGGATAAATAAAAGAAAAGCGAAAAACGAAATTTCAAATTTTGTACTAATAATGTTGTTAAGAAAAAACAATACGAACTTTACAACGTTGTAAATATACATTTCACTGGTGTTATCTTCCCTCAACTAGGTAGTTGAGGGAAGATAACACCAGTGAAATTCTAGATTTGTTTGAAATATTTTGACTGAATTCCTGTTAGTGGTTCAGTTTAAATTGTCAATGCATATCGTGTTCTACTTTGAAGTTCATGTATTTAAATCACAATGGACATAATTTTTTCAAATATATCAGAAATCATTAAAAAAATGTAACTCAGAAAAAGTATACCACATATATATATCGCTTTCGGTTAGCATATTACCCGTGAGAGATTCTCTATATAATCAAGTGAGGTGATTTTATTAGTAGATAAGCTCAAGTTAAAATAAATGTTCATCAAACATATTTTATTACTATTACTATTAGCTATAAATCATTTTTTATTTTCTTCTTCTATTTCTATACACTTCACCGTTCAAACTCCATCGTGTTCGACTTAATTAATAAATAATTTACACACAAAGAACATTGATCTCACTTTTTGAAGAATTAGTATTGGCTGGAATAATTAAAAAAGTTGAAAAATACTCAATGAATGAATACTCTGGGGAATATTCTTATTTAGGTACAACGTTAAGACAAGCCAATGTTGAACCACAACCAACGTTAAGTGATGTACGTAGATTAGTGACAGAATATGCTATTCTACCATTAGGTGAGTTATATATACATAGTTTCGAACCTTCAATTTTATCGAGATGGAACGTCCTTGGAAATTGTTTAATACAAAAGAATATTGTGAGGTGTTCTGTTGTTTTCAGTGGCTCGCTAATCGCTGATGAATAATAATTGTAATTCACTCATTTGAGTCTTTCATAATAGTTACCTGTTATCCACCAAGGTTAGGTCTTGTTCGTGAGAGATTAACAGTGACAGTTCCAATAAATTAGTGAGAAGAATAAATGGTTATTTTTTAACAAGAAATACCTTTACAATTAATTGTATTAATGATTAGTTCCGAAGGAATTTTGGTTTTATATAACAGGTCAATACAAGAAGGATCACTAGACTTTAGACAGTTGTTTCTTACGAATTAGAGGGATTTCTTGTAAATTTATATTCGCATGATAGGAGTATTTATACTTCTTGACAGTTAATACTAAAACAGAAGTAAATTCCCGTTTGATAGCTAATTACTTCACATGGTTGATTAAATTGGTCATTTTATTTTAAAATGGGATAAAAGTATTCATTTACTATTATTATTTAATAATCCTTTTTTTAAAGGCTCACAAAGTGTTCATGAAAAAGCTCCGTTGATAAAGTCTCTTCTGTTGGCTGGACCACATGGAACTGGTAAACGTATGTTGGTCAATATTATATGCACTGAAACTGGAGCTAATCTGTTCGATTTATCTGCAGAAAATATTGCAGACAAATATCCTGGTAAAGATGGTCTTAGAATGTTGATACACCTAGTTTTTAAAGTTGGACGACTTCTTCAGCCTTCAGTAATATTGATTAACGATTGTGAAAAAATGTTTAAAAAGAAACTTCCCAAAACTGATTTGGTAAGTTAGAAGTAAACGTTGAGGTGCAAACGTAGCTACTTATAAGTAGTTAAAATAGTTTTGACTAAAATTTAACGAGACAAGCCAAAAGAAGGTATTCAACCAAATATTTGATACCAATAAATACCTCAGACTCTTAGTTAATTTACTCAAAAATATTCTCCATGAGGTGTGAAATACTGCCAGATTTCAACTAAACGAATACAAGACTTTGGTTTCTGATAAATAGGCGAGTTTCATGAAAGAATATAAAGAAGGAGTATACGACGTTTAACACTTGTATACAGTTTACTTTATCTGCATTATAGTAAAGTACCTTGGAATTATTTTAGCCGGTATTAAAATATAATCAGTAACCTGTCTACAGATCTGCCGGCCAAAAATCGTAACGGTCTGCTATATTTACTGCTTATTTATTTTGATTGCATTTGGACATTTTTTGTTTTAGGCTGCAGTCTTTTTGAATTTTACGTTGTCCATTTTTATACTGCTAATACTAAACTTATATTTGCATGGAATTAATGAATGTTGTCAACTTTGCGCGGTACACGCGATCGGTGAATATTTTTATTTGATGATTTACTAGGCTGGGAAGGGTTGGTTTATTACTGCATGTATAAGTTCGGTTTAGTAATCTACAATATTTGTTGAATTATTTATGTTGAAATTATTGGGCCTCTTGTGCCGTAGTCGAATTTGAGAGTGGAAATGATTTCAAACAGAGAATTTGAGATCATCATAAGAAATTATCCTTGTTGACAAGTAGATTTGAAGGCACTATGCATGTATAAAGCTTCGAGTTTATCTAGTGAAAACAGTTGGTTAGATGAATTAACGGATTTGACACTAATAAATATCATGTAACTTGAAATGATTAAAACTGACAACTGTAGATTTCATTTCTATCTTCTTCAAAAGTCTCCAAACCTCTTGAATGAGTAGTCTCAGTGAGTTTTATTTCACTTTTGATCATGATGCTATGTTTTCTAAAATAGTTTGTTTAATCACAAAGCTTTTATATGAAGTAGTTTCTGATGATATGGTCCAGAAGGACAATTTGGGCTGTGCAAATGAACCATTCATATCAGAGGTCTAAAAATTGCTAAAAGTATCCTATTAAGCTAAAGATCTTCTACATCATTACAGTAGTTATTTCCAGTCATTGACATGGTAATTTTGTCTATAATAAACAAGTAAAGCGCTTCACTGAATACTATGAGTTGCTTGATAGCATAAATTTGATGAATTATTCCGAAATTGGGGACAAATAAAATCCCATCCAGTTTTATTTGACTGGTGAGCTTGCAAATAATTTTAAAACGTAATTTGATCAAGATGAAATTTCCTGGGAAATGTATAATCTATTCAACTCGAAAAATGAAACGTAATATTTAAAAGTATATCTACCAATCTTATCTGGTTCAGGTAACTTGCTAATAAAACACATAGTTCCTAAAAGTTGATGCTGGTCAATTCATATTTCATATGGTATATTAGAGTTTTAACCAGTTCACTTGGTCAGTCAGTTAGTTTGTTGATTATAGTTATAACTATTTACTTTATTATTGATTCCATTAGCTTTTGGGCATTTATGTGTAACCGTGACAAAATTTTACATTAATTTATATATAATATTTCACTTTTGACCATCATACAGGCAGATCCTAAAAGATTAAAAAAAGAATTACCTAAAGCAATGAAGATTTTAACACCGAATGATCGTGTTCTACTTATTGGTTGTTCATCAGCACCATTTGAAGCAGATATTCGACCATTTTGTAAATTATATCAAAAAATTATTTTGATACCAAGACCAGATTATGCTTCTAGAAATAGTAGGTTTATTTAGATTTATATGTATGAAACTTATTTTTTTTAAAATATATTAAAACAATTGAATTCAGTCAACAAAATATAGACAGTATAGGAATTGATACAAATATTTCTTGGTTCATGTTCCCCAATCTCACATTAGAATAGCATAAAGAAACAGTTTACAATCTGTAAGCTACCAGTTTAAATAATGATATAGATAAAAGTGAAAATCCAGAAAACAAGTAACATAGTTTGAAAGGGACAAATGAAAATTTTTCAGTAATCATTTATATCAGGAATTAATGGAAGATAAAAAACAAAACAAATCTGATGTAATGTAAGTGGTTATATGTTGTGTATACACTCATAAATTGAGATTATCTCGATAGTCTTGACTGAGAAGTTTTCTTCTCTATGCATGGTTTAGTTCTGCATTCAGTGACTTGACGTAGGTTGATAACATTTCATAGCTTTAGCAACTAATTAACCATTTTAACCTAGAACCTGATGCCTAAATACAGTATTACTCACTCTGTTTTCTCATCATACACAGATTTCAATGCTATCCTTGATTAAATATTAAGTATTTACACAATATCAATCCATGGAGTCCATGCATAACTAAAGCAAAGTCATGCACAGTAGCTTTCTATTCAATAGATTTACTCAGTGGTCGATACTAACATCGTTAAAGTGATCCGTTAGTGTCATACGCATCGAGTAACCTCAGTGTCTTCAACTCTACCCACTGAAAGCAGTTGAAATTATATACTACCAAGAAGTTTAAGGAAAGTAAGAACAAAATAATTAATCTGTGATTCTTGATTTTGACTAGTGTTTTGGAATTAAAATCAATAGCATGATTCACCAATTTGTAGTATTTTTTATCGTCCAATCTCATACAACCTAATTCTAGTTATCTGGAGAACACAAATTATACGTCATGGAGGAATACTAACAGATGAACTAGATATTACTTCATTAACAAAAATATCTGATGGTTATACATCTGGTCAAATAGCTCAAGCATGTAGTCAAGTTATTACAGAACGGCGTATTGCTCAGCTAAGTAGGAGATGTTTAAAAGCTGAAGAATTTATTACACCATTGGCCCAAATCGATCCAGTATTCGCTGATGAAGAAGAAGCATATAAGGTGAGTTATGGTGATTATTACTATTGATGTATTGGTGACTGACTATTGGAAAACTTGTACGTAATTGAAGTAGCTTTAATCCAATTCAATCAACTGTTTTGCCTTATTGAAGCAGGATCAATTAAAGAATACTATCGGGAAATATATCAATCTGACTTACCGAAACTGCCAACGGTATCAGTGAATGATTGGTATTTTATGAGCTTTACAATGACAGGAACTAAACAAAAATAAATCACTTGACCATGTGTAGTTGTTACAGCAACAGTAAATTTTACGAATAATTTGTGAAGTTTCTAAACACAAATTATTATTATAATAACATGTATCCCTGCCTGTATGAGGCGGAAACTTGGAGAACTACGAAAGCCATCATCCAGAGGATACAAGTGTTCATTAATAGTTGTTTACGCGAAATACTTCGGATCCGTTAGCCAGACACTATCAGCAACAACCTACTGTGAGAGGAAACAAACCAGATCCAACTGGAGGAAGAAATCAGGAAGAAGCACTGGAACTGGATAGGACACACAATGAAGAAAGCACCTAACTGCGTCAAAGGCAAGCCCTCTCTTGAGGTCGCCAAGGCCAAAAAAGGAGCGGAAGATCAAAGAACGTATTACGCCGAGAAACGGAGACAGACATGAGAAGAATGGACAACAATTTGATGTAACTAGAAAGGAAGGACCAGGACAGAGTGGGTTGGAGAATGCTGATCGAAGGCTTTTGCTGAATTTGGAGTAACAGGCGTTCCAGACAAGTGTTACCGATCAACTTGTTTGCTTAGTTATTAATGTTGAATAATCGAAGATCATTTTCATAAGTAGCTTCTTTATATATCTGTTATAGCCTTTTAGATTCCAACTTCAGGAAGTATAAGTAACCGTATGCTAAAATTGTTGATATACCCCTTGTAAGTAAATCGAAGCTTTATTGAATTAAAACACGAATTTCAGCGAAGGGATCTCTTTTTAACGAATTTATTATCAAGCTGTACAATCGTATATATATGAAAATTTTGTTTTTGTAAAAGTACTAATTCTGTGAGGAAATGTGAACACAGTTAATATAAAGGTTATAATACTAGATTACGTAATATGAATAATAACAATAACAATAGATTTAGTGATTATAATAAGATGATTAAAATGATTAAAATGTTTTTGATATAATAATTAAAGGTCATAGAGGTGTACAAAAATAAACTGATATGATGAGCGTTCATGAATAAAACAATGAGAATATAAGACATAAGTAAAAGGGGAATGCAGTTATAATAATAATAATAATAATAATAATAATAATAATAATAATAATAATAACATTAATAGTAGGATAATCAAACTAATTAAGGCCAAGGTAACGATAACGATAAGACGTACTTCTTTTGTACGCATAGTTCTGGTTTAAGCTCCTGGATGGCAAGAGCTTTGGCTATTTTTAAAAGTTGGATACGAAGAAATCTGGGTAGATTTGAACGAATCATATAAACAAACTTAAAGTCAATTTGTGGATCTGTTGAATGGTTATAGTCGATTAGGTGTTCAAGTATAGAACTCCTAACTGCTTTCCTTTCACCCTTATAGAACCAGGCTGGGATATGTTCTCGTATCCGAGTTGAAAGCGAGCGCTGGCTACGGCCAATGTACCTTGCTCCACAAGAGCAGGTGAACTGGTAGATGCACATGGAGGCGACCAGACGCGGAAGCTTATCTTTTATGGATACAGAAAATAAGTTTCTACTAGTGAAGGATATTCGCAGTTTTGCCGCGTTAAATGTTCTTCTAATAGTTGTTGTTAGACGGTTTTTGATTACGTCCGATGTTCGGTCACCTTTAAATTCCAGACTTATATAAAGGTTTTTCTTTGGAACGGAACAACTAGAATTCTTCTCGCGACTACTTTTATTCATATTCTTTTCTATGAACCGTTCTGGGTAACCATTTTCCGTCAAAGTCTTCTTCAGGAATGCGAGTTCTTCGTTAATGCATTCCGTACTGCATATGTGATGTATGCGATGGCATAAAGAATGGATAAGGTTTCTCTTCCTACTTAACGGAACCCAGCTATAGAAGTTGGTTAGCTGGCCATTCCATGTTTGTTTTCTAAAGATGGATCTTTTTAAAGAACCATTACTCTTTCTCATCAGACGTACATCGAGAAAAGGAATTGATTGGTCTTGTTCCCTTTCTAACGTGATTCTATGGAAGGGTGGCACGAGTTAAAGGTGTGTAGAATATCATCTAAATCAATATTATTGTCACAAACAACAAACGTGTCGTCCATGTATCTCACGTATAGGTGGAATCGATTGATCATTGAACGGAGTTGGTCGTTTTCTACTTTTGCCATGAAACAGTCTGCTAAAATTGGACCCAATGGAGACCCCATTGCGATCCCATCCCTTTGTCTATATATTTCATTACTGAAACTGAACTGGACATTAAAAGTACAGCGTAACAATAATTCTTTCAAGTGTTCAGTTGGCAAACCTAGATCTATATTGTTAGAATCAATATACTCACATATATAACATATTGTTTCGGTTAAAGGTACGCTAGTGAACAAAGAATTAACGTCAAGCGAGAACATGTGTTTTTCGGAAGTATTAACGTCCTTAATACGATCAATAAATTGAAAAGTATCATGAATAGAATGTTTGCATACTTGCCTTCTAACCGGTTCCAATTTTCCCGCTAACCATTTGGCGAGTCTGTGGTATGGAGAAATTGACATGTCCAAAATAGGTCGTAACGGTAAACCCGGCTTATGTATTTTCGGTAGTCCATATAAGCGCGGGATGACTGAGCCCATGGGACGCATGTGATTATATAAATCTTGGGTTATTATCCCCTTATTCTTAAGATTTTTAACAACATCTGTTAGCTGTTTTTCGATTTGTAATGTTTTATCAGCTTCTTTAGGTTTGGAGAATGTAGTACCATCCTCTAGAATTAACTTCATTTTATCCAAATATTCTTTGCGGTCAAGTAGTACTACACCAGCTCCTTTGTCAGGTTTACTTAGGATTAAATCCTTATTTCTTTTCAACAGTATTAGCTGATCCAAGTGGTTCTTAGTTAATAGGTTATTCTTACTATAATGTGCACTAACGAATCCATGACTGCAGTCCAGTAATGTTGACTTAAAGTGCTGGAGATTTTGTGGAGATGTCGGCATAAGATCATGAGTTTGATTTGATAGATTTTCGAATTGTATTTGTGTATGAAGTCTACTGGTTTTGGAGGTGCTGTTACAGAACTTGGGACCCAATGTTTATGAAAATCACAATTACCTGAACAATTATAAATCTTGCCTAAATGATTAGTAGTATGCAGTTAGGTATACAGTTTAAATGAAAAATGATTTCAGTTGTTTGTACCTTAGTGTTAACAAGTTTGAAAATTCTTATAAGAATGTATTTAAATCCTTTAAAAGAAGCATTAGCAATACGATAGCAACCAAACGTCTAAAACCAGATCTATGTATACAAAAAGAGACAGTAATAAATCTTTCTTTGCCCTGATAACGTTAAACCCCACTTTTTCATTTTTTTCATATTTATTACGTCATTTATTATTCCAACTCTTTCTGATGTTTAAAATTACATCATTCATAAATGATTGATTTCAATTTATATCTTTCTTTATTACCATCTATCTTCAGTTACTTGATTACACAATCATCTAATGTTTGTTAACTCCATGAGTTCTAATCACTATTTCAATGTTCTGGAACTTTCCCTCTCAAACTTTATTTATTCAAAACAAAAAAATTTTGTGAGCTTATTAACTCGATCGGAATCTTCGCTAACATCATGATACATATATATTCATCCTTGATCACCCTCTTATGTAATATCTCTGATTTTCAAATATTTGCGGTTGTAAGCAGCTAATGAGAACCTAACGAAATAAAATGAATTCGTATTATTCTGCACCAATCTTTATTCTTGCTCTATTTAAGAAATATTAGTGTTTCAATTGTCTATACTATACATATTGATTCCATTTTTAAATTAATGTATAATCCATTCATTGTTATACTGACTCCTAAATATTTTCATAAGTGGAAGTTAAGTATACATAACTAATACATTAATTCATGTTAAGTAAATAAATCTCATTTAACTGATTGAAGATGTATACATTCAAGTAATGTTACCATAAGTGTACACCAAATGGTTCGATGAAAATTCTTTTATTTGTATATTAATGTATATAAATACTGTCAAACAAATGAAATAGTATCAGAAGGGGTTTAGATAGTTTTTTTTACAAAAAAAACACAACAACAACAAACGAAACCGTATTCATTTCACATGATGCTTATTTTATCTACTTACTGTAAAAGGATACAATAATCACATTATGATATTTATCAATTTGTCAAACGTAGAAATAAAATTTCTCCTTTATGCCTCATCTTATAAAATATTGAAACTGACAGATTAAATTTAAATGAATATTTCATGTTTGTTTATTTTCATTTCAATGTAATTTATTAATAATTAAAAGTGATTGTAAGAATCAATTAGAGAAAATCAAAACTTGACTAACCGTTTCTTATCATATTTTAGTTCGTTTATTGAAATGATAATAAAACTATGGCTTATCAATTTGATTTTTAAAGTAACCTAGACTTTCGTCCGATTTCAGTTAGTCACTAAATTAGCCAATATAAATGATGATTGTAGCAACTGAGATTATCTGGTTAACTTTTTTATTTAGATTATTTATTTTAATTATTTAGACAGATCTATTTCTCTCGAGGGGGATCGTGAATACGCACTGACGAAGAGTCCCATACTAGGGCGAAACAGCCTTCCAGTACTTCCAGGTTTTCCATAGTGGTCTAGCTTCAATTGACTCATGATTTCAACGAGTGAAATTTCTATTTGATATGACGAGAAGAAAAGTCAAAATTCAATTGATTTACTCACTATAAGTTTTGTTCAACATTACTTCTGTTCTGATTCAATGTGATGATTATTCAGTGTAGTATTAGGTTTTGTTTTCACATATGATATTTTATTCTGTATAATATGCGATATTCTTGTATTCCATTGATATGATCTATGCCCATTATATGATTTGTTATAAGTCTTAGTATTTTTCATATATGTGATTTTATCTTAATTATTAATCGAAATGAATCTACAACCGATATATCAATGAGTGTATTTTCGACTAGGGTCGTCGTCGTGTTTTGGGGTCAATAAATCTTCATTTATACCAGTCTTCCTGTTCTTACTTTCGCGTCGTGGAAATCGCAGAGGTCCCTCGTTTCGAGTATAAATGATAACCGTTTCCGACATAACAATCAGCGACGACCAGATATAACAAGTAGCATTCAATTGACAAGTTATAACAATTTATCATTTAACAGATTCAAAAATTACGTATTTTTCAACAAAAAAAAACACTGGTTATTGAAGTTGATCATCAAGATTATTGCTTTAAATGTTCTTTTTACAGACATGGTATCGTAAAACACCTCTTGGTAAACAGAAAGCTTCAGCTATTCAAGCTGAAAGTGAAGCGGCATCTGGTGGAGCTAATAAGAAACCCGTTAAAGGTCGAAAGAAATGAATTATTAACCAAAAATGTGATTTTCTTTCTTGTTTATTTGTTTAAGTTAATGAAAATTATGAAAAGAAAAAAACATGTCACTGAATTTGTTTGTTTCTGTAATTTATCAGAATAATTATTTAACGTTTATCGACTTTCTGTACGTTGCATATGAATAAATATTTCTATGAAAAGAACAGATCTCATCATCTATTTACCCCTCTACAGAATAATTAAAATCTCATATAATGTAACGTTTCACGACTATATTTAATATAGAAGTTTCAATATATATACGTAAGCATTTGTAAGTTAACTATCATATTATAGGATTCATATAAAAGTCCTTTCGAATAATGAACAGTTCTATGATTAAATTTAACTTGCAGCAATATTTTATTTTAGAAAACATTGATGATTTGTTGTTGATCAGTCGGATGTTATATAAGGATATTTTATTCTTTAGTTGTTGGGGCGAGTGGGGATGGTTAGAGAGATTGGAAACGATATTGATCTCTGTGTATTTATGTTGTTAATTCCAGATTCTATATTCAAAGCAATTAATCCGTTTTAGAAATTTCTATAGAAAAGTGAGACGTCTTTTATTTGAAAAATATGTGGTGTATTCGCACCATACATTTCCAGTAGTCTGGTTACACGTATGGCGTTAATTATGGCGTTGATTTGTAAAAAGTAATAAATATCGATTAAATAAATGTTCAAATAAACGAAAAATGATAATCGTGAATAAAGGAGAAAAAAGTCGGTATAATATGGAAAGAATAAGAAATGGTCATATCACTCTACGCCGTTAAATGACTTAAAGATTACCAGGGTACATTAAAAAGTAACGACAAATTGTTTTTGTACACAGAATGATGGTGTAAATTTACGTATAGTTCAGGCTTCTATAAACTTAAGGATTCGTCTTCAACGATTTCTATACAATGTTTTAAAAACAGTATTAATGTCAATTCCGTGCTTTTTTTCAATTATATACTTTGATATCAATGAGTGAGGTTTTCCGCTGTTCGTGCTTATCAGAGCGTTTGGTATTAATTGATTCTGAAGCCATCTACGTACATGTTTCATAAATCTAGATTGGCTTGTCTGGTTACTCCTCTTTGATTATGAATCTGTTCTCGATGGCCACATTTAGTCCCTGTCTAAAAATTATACTGTTTATCTTTCTTCCAGATGATAAACAGATATAAACCTTTATCTTAGCAACAGTATTAAAATGGGTTTTGGTGTTGACTAGTTTTTACATTGATTTATGAAATTCAGCTGGTAAACATTTATTATCAGTCAACAGTTCCATGTCTTTCTCAAACGCATCCGCATCACGTTTGCAGAGGACTGATAGGTGTACTTAGGGCTTCATGTGAAACTGGATCATTGATCTTAATGTCTGGGGTCAAATATGATGCATTCAAGCCAGTGAGTAATAACAAATACTATGTTGCATATTTCATGAAACTGATCAAATTCTGCTAATCGATTTGGACCATGAACATCAGTATGAATTACCCGATATCATGATGGTCTTTGTTTCATATTACATGATTGAAGCTAGTCAATAGATAACAGTGAAGTCAGCGAATTCCTTCAATAGCAATCTGGCATTCTTTATTTATGTTTTCCTAAAACTCAGGATTAATGTTAATTTGTACCTCCTATTTTTTTATGTCTAGTTCTTTTTCCATTTCAACTATATACCTCAAATGGAAATTTGATCGAATATAATATCTATCTTTCGTAATTTCTTTCTTACTTTACCAATGTTAAGTGTTAAATTTTAAGAGTCAATTGAAGCTAGACCACCATAAAAAACCTAGAAGCACTGGACGGCCGTTTCGTTCTGGTATGGGACTCCTCAACAATGCGCATCCACGATCGAAACAGCTGTCCAGTGCTTCCAGATTTCCCATGGTAGTCTAACTTCAATTGACTCATAAGCTCAACTATTAAATTACTATAATATCCATAAAAACCCTTCTATGATTATAATGTTAAATGTGTCAAATTGAGCTGATACAGATTTGTGTAATGTTTTATGATTTTTGTAACTGATTAATTTATTGAATGATTCAAGTTCATAAATAGAAAACATCTATCTAATTCATTGAATAGATTATCATTTATTATGAAGCATAATTCTAAAAAAATATTTTCAAGTATCCTGGATTATCAGTATAGGGGTTGTGGAGATAATTCTGTTTTTGATTGAGATCATGAACCGATTGATGTTAGACCACCATTATGGTTTCATAATAGCTGTTTAACTTATCCGGGATACCTCGGCATTGCGCATCCACGATCTCGCCCACGGGATTCGAACCCAGGGCCTTAAGTCTCACGCACGAACGCTTCACCTACTGGACCAATGAGCTGGCATCCAACGGTGTCAACCAATTTCGTGGATTGGTTGATGTTAGACACTAACACCATCGAGTGCCGACCAGCTCAGTGGTCCAGTAGGTTAGGCGTTTGCGCTTGAGACTGAAGGCCCTGGGTTCGAATCCCACGAGCGAGATTGTGGACTGCGGAGGTATCCTGGATTGGTTAAACAGCTAATATGAAACCATAATAAATATGTTGCTATGACAGGCAAACTATAAATGAATGCTTAAATGATAGTTTAAATTAAATCAAATATATTCATACATAAAAAGCGATAAAACAAATTGATACACAGTATTGTTTTAATTATTCACAAATTTATTAACAAAATAAAAGGAAATATTCCTCTTTTTTAAAAACAAACAATTTGTTATCTATCATTACAAAATCAGCGGTAATTTGAAATAACAATAAAGTGAATGTATTGAGACAACATACATTGGTTTCTTTTTTAAGCTTACAATGTATAAGTAATAATTCAATTTGATTTATTTGATACTTATCAACTAATTTTGCATTATTTTAATTCTCCAAATTGATATGAAAATAATTGAAAGATCAATATTGATATTATTATTTAGTTACTATTTGAATTAGTTAGTTATAATCAATCAATATGAATATAATAAGTAATATAATTAGTATATATAATTGAATGATATCATCATTCAAGATTATTTCATAAATGATATATGTATATGACACTGAATTGTTGGATTATTTTCATAATTGTCGCTTATTAATCATATAGTTGATTAATTAATTAGTTAACCCAATTATTCAGTAAAAACATGATTATTCATATGTAAACATAATTTCTAAACAAATATTGAATATTTAATGTAATCCTTGTAAATTAGATAAATAAATCATTACTATATATAAAATCTTATTTTCGCTTATAGTTATACATAAGTTGTTTTGTTTAGTGAAGAAACAAAGTATGGATATTGATGTAATACATTCCGGTTATCTAATCGTAAAACAAATTTACTAATATCAAACAGTTATCGTATAGAACCATCCATTATATATTATATGACTTGACTGAGTGTCTTTAAGAAGTCACTTACAAGACATGAAAAGTGAATGATTTAAAGGACAAATATTTAGGCGATATGATAATGAAAAAAAACCCAATGAGTTCTGAATTTCGACTTTTGACCTTCAGGGAAAAAATATCTTTTAAAGTATCAATAATTGATGAAATACAGAACGATGTAATACTACATTAAAATTCATTCTTAGGAACTTCAAAATCAATTACTCTTAGAAAAATAAACATTTTAATATTTGTTGGTAACTTCAAAATGAATCTATTCAACAAAAATACCCTATGAAAAGTGTAAAATATGTCAATTGATTCAATTAAGTGAATCAAATAATCAAAAAACAGTTAGGTAATATTTAAAAAAAATTAAAACAGAAATCACTATCCTAGAAGAATAGAACAGTTATGAGTATAAAAGTGTATAATCTCTATTCATCATTATGAATTCATAGAAATAATTAATATTTTAAAGGATAGCATTTATCCTATGCTCCATTAGGGGTCATAAGCTTAAGTGTTGATCTACTTAATTTCTATGTTAAAAATTTTATATATCCAAATGATTAATATTAGTTAACTAATTAAACAATTGTAAATGAAAATGAAAATAAATTCTTAATCTACTACATAACAATTAAAAGTTCAATCAATAGATTATATCTACTTTCACATTAATCTTTAGAAAAACAAAACAAAACAAGATTATTTTTCAATTATATATCAACTGAATGAGTATTTATTTCAATAAATAACTAAAGTGTTATTTCACACAGACAAAAATATTTTAAAAAAGAGATTAATTACATAATTCTTTATTATTATTATCATTATTATTGTTATTTCATTTCATTATCTGTAAATAAAGACAAAAAGAAAGTCTTTCTAATAAATAAGTTTGTTTATTTTTAGAAAAAAGAATAATAATAAGAGAAAAAAATGTAAAAAAAACAAATCAATTATCAATTATTATTTTGATAAAATTGAATAATAAGAAAACAACAAAAAGAAAAGTTGATGAGCGACATTAGTTCACACAAATAAAATAAACATCAGCTGACCTTGATAGAAAAGAGAATAACATGAATTTGAACAGTAAGTGAATAGATAAATAGGGACATAAATATTTTGGAAATGTAAAAATAAATGAAACATAATAATAATAATAATCAGTAAACATCACAAAAATAACACGAACATTGTCTGATTGTAAGTGAAATTAATTGGTTCGTTAAAATTATTGATCACTTCACTGTCGGTTATTGATTAGTGACACTGTTTTGCGTATAGTTAAGTTCGTTAAAAAAAAATAAGCAGATAATAAAGATTATGTATGAGTTAGGAAACCTGATGAATTAGAAGATTTAGTTGTCAAGGGAGGCGCAAAACAAAGACAAACTTAAAATTACATACCAGATAACAGTAATAATAATAATAATAATAATAATTTATATAAAATAAAAAAACAAAGATTATTGAAAGACATTATTGTCCGTTTCTCTCCTTTTTTTGATTTTCTTTACTTTGGTCTCTTACATTAATCTCAATTAATTAGTCTACATGTAATGTTTCTTAATTAATTCTGATGCATAAAATGTCAGTAGGTGTACACAAGGAAAAGGTAGTTGACAACTAAAGCATTTCGTGAAGGTGGATTATGTATATATATATTTCTGGCACATAACTGGTGGGAAAAAGTATTTATGAGTATACTATTGAAATACACTTCATGCATGCACACATACGCACTGCACA